GCTATTGACGAAACTTGAAAACTGAGATCGTTACGAAACAATTCGTTCAGTGAATCGCAGCAGATGCCCGTTGCCTGCAAAAATACTTGAATGTTTAGAGCAACCGCTCGCCTAGACATAAAATTAGTTACAGAGTGAAAAAAATAATAATGTGTACATAAAATAATTACTTGTTTATAACCGGATGTGGCAATTCGAACAATAAGACGGATTATTTCTGAGATATAGTTGAAATGAGGAACGGAGACAAGAAGTTTCCCAAGGCACTTCAGGCAAACAAACGGCATTTCCTTATCTCCCCATTCTCTGGATGTCTTCAGAAGAAGCTCTAAAAAACACCTTTTAATTATTTCTGTCTCTTCAAATCACACAACTGACCTGTACATATCTATCCCAAAGTTGCAACGGAATATCTGCTCGAATATAAAACCAGCAGAAACTCACTTCCGGCATATTTTTCCAGGTGTTTCAGATATTTTAGATAATAGCGTAGAAGTGCTTGCTCGTAATCAAACAGTTTCCTTGTTTCTTTTTTGAGTTTCTGTGTCATCTCTTCCTCAGAACGTGCTCTGCAATTAAAAAACCAGTCATAATGTACGATTTATAATTATTTGCTGATGGGCTTGTATAGGGACAAATGGAGCTATTATTAAGTTAAATAATGAGGATTTAAGGTCACAACTAGTAGCGAGACAATCAATACCTTCACGATTCTTTCAAATTTTTGTAAATAAACTGGTACCAGCGTGTGAAAGGGAGCAAAAACAAACCGGTAATCGACCCCAGTGGAACCTCTTGAAGCGCCTTGTCAACGGATAACTGCTGTTACCATATCCTACCATTCACTAATGCCTTAATCCCTTACAGGGAAACAAATACGAATCGTTTAGTCTTTCACACCCACGAGATAAAAGCTTCGTCGTGTCACAAGTCTCTCAGAGAGCACTGAATTCCTACAGTACACGAATCCAGCAAACAAATCCAAGCCGCTGTAAGGGCAGGAAGTCAATTAACCAAAGCAGCAAAAGGGCAGCAAAAGAACAAACCTTATTGTATATCCTGGAATAATATCAATAAAAACTTGCGCAACCGAAACGCTCGCTAGCTTCATCACAGTTTCACGTACCGCTGGCATGACACCATCACCAGTGCACAGCGCATAGAAATCTTTTAATTTACGTACCTAAAATTGCTTCAGCTGGGCATTTTCCAATTCTATATCAAATAGTGAGACAGTGACCAGCTATCCTACTGCTTGGAGATATAAGAGAGGCAAAATTTTCACTAAAAAATTTTGAGCTGTTTCAGACATCCAGCAAATTGTTTCAAGAATAGAGATAATTTTCCACATCAAGTGAAAAAAATCATTTTATTCTGTTATAGCTATGAGAAAGCTACTCATGTAGTATCAGTGCTTTTTTAGAAAACCAAAAGAAGTTAATAAAAAATTTGTTCAGATAAACGAATAACTCGGGAAGGCTACTGCTAAAATGTTACCTCGTCCTGTGGATCCGCTAAAATCGTGTACGCCAAACTGCTGATCCGATTTTTCGCCTTCTCCAGGTGCTCATTGCGCAACTTCAAAAATTCTGCAGCGCTTAAATGCGATAAATCAACGCTGCTGGCTGCTTCTCCGGCTTCTTTCACTTCGGTATGTGTGTCTTCTGAAAAAAAGCAAAATAACCAAACATGAAATTGAGGGTTTTTTTCTGGATAAAATTCAGGTTTTTAAGTTTCTGGCAAATGTTCATACCTTCATCACTGGGCACAAGATCTTCCTCCATTCGTACCTGCCTCACTACTTTACTGCCCACTTTTATCGGTAGTAATTCCCGCATATTATCATCTAACGAGCCAGCAAATCGACGTCCCTTGCACTCGATATCCTCCAGTGCTGCATCATCCCGAGCTATAAATTCCCATGGACGTGACATTCATTTTTTTCACGATTTTTGTGTGATAGTATGCGAATATTTAGAACAGGAAGATACAGTAAGTAAACGGAAATTAATTTTTTAAAATTTTCGGAGAAAAAGTAAAAAAAAGTGAGGAAGCCGCCCTTCGTCCTTTGCACTGGACAACCTACAGTCTGACGATATCCAGGATTCTTCGTCCTACTGTGCCCGACCTTATATAAATGTTCAGTTCCTGCAAAAGAAAGGATTCGGCAATGAACCTTTCTGCATTCGCTGCACTCGGGATGCGAAGGCGCTGTTCTGCCAATCGATGTCCGCCGTATCGACCATGTCCAGCGGAAGAATCTCATCGTCGGTCGCGTTCTGGGCCTCCAGCTCACGATCCAGCAACCAGTCGCTGGTGATCTAAAAACGCCAGCTTTATCATCACCACACAACAACAGAGAGATATTTTGAAGAGAAAATAATATTAAGAAATTAGTAAAAGTAGTAAAATCACTTTAATCAAAGTAGCAAAATTTTAATAGAACAACTCACATCGCGTGCTCGTTTTCGGGCACCAACATGCCTCTTGTTGTTGATCTCTTTCATCGCATCCAGAACATGGCGTTTCAGCTTTCCAGCTTTTTTCAATCGTTTCAACCTTTGCCTCACTTTCAGCGCTTCCTTCTTTCGTTTCCGCCTCTGTTGATCAACTCGGCCAGCCATTCCGGAGTGCCGGATCTGAAATTTTTTACGTAAACAGACAAAACAGCCTCCACGCGCACTTCTTATGAGAAGGGGGAAGCAGTCGGAAAAAGCGCGAATGAAAGTATTCATCCCATCGCAAAACAGTCGATGCCCCCTCCCACCCCGCGAGAATTACTTAATAGACAAGCTGATGGCTGGTTTGACTCGGCCGCATATGCCAGCACTAATTTACCATCGAAACAACTGACTGGACCGTCGGACGACCCGCTTGCCTCTCAAATCATCGCAAACCGAACACCAAGAGCCAGGCCGAGCCAATTTTTAGTAATTGCCGGCTACGGGCGCGTTTGAATTATA